TGACTAAATGATAAAAAAAAAAAATAGTTATCTTGTAAATCATTATGAAAACATTATGTGGTTCGTTTTGCTTATCTTCTTTAAAGGTTCAGTTCTGGTTCATCTGAAAAGAACTTCTTTCTCTCTATGTTTGGTGCTTTTCCCTCCTGCATGCTTTATGGTAAACTGCAAATAGGACTTGTTACTTTGTTGTTCACTTTGCCGCTCTTCTATTGAGGCCAAAATTGCTGAAAGGTGAGAGCACAGCAAATGCTTGTCCTGTTAACAGGATTTCCCACCTGAGCTGTGGACCTCTGCAGCTCCTCCAGAGCAACCCTTCTCTATATATCTGATTAATGCTCTCCGTTCTCTGGCAGTTAGTTAAGATGAACCTCCAAACCTTGGTAGGTTTGCAGTTGACTGTCAAGCGTGAGAGATGTTGCAGACCTTTCAAGTGACATGTCTCTAAATCCAAACAAGAAACTTTCATTATCACCACAGCACTACTGCCAATGAGCTAATAATAATTGGGATCGTGCTGTATAATGTTGCACATAGTTAGACAGCCAGGTTTACCACACTATGCTTGACTTTTATATCCTGCATTTATATAGACATTAGGCAAGACCGCTTCCATCTGTTAAAACCTTGTCAAAAGTAAGCCAGCTTCTAAAAGCTTTGAAAAAATCAGAAGTAAAAGAAACAATTGCAGCAAAACTCTACAAGAAAGACCAACCCTTGTTATTACAAGTAATTTGTACTGCCAAGCAGCTACAGTATTTGAGATGTTGATCAGATTTTTCCAAATGTTTGAACTATGTCTGTTTGTTTTCTATTTCTAGCCCTTTCCACCAAGAAAAGCCTCTGCAGGCCGAGTTGTTCACATCTGCAACCTGCCTGAGGGCAGCTGTACAGAGAATGACGTCATCAACCTGGGAATACCGTTTGGAAAAGTCACCAACTACATTCTAATGCGCTCCACCCATCAGGTACAAGACCTGCTTTTTTAAAGTGTGTTTATAATTGCCTATATTATGTTGATTCATAATTTTTCACGTTTTAATTTTTTTTTATGGCACATACATTTTCTTATGTTCATTGTTTTAGGTGCAATGCAGATAAATCCATCCCCAAAATTAACTTGTAAATGTCCCAAAATGTGTAAATTCCTGTTGATCTGCTCTGTTTTCTTAATAATACCAGATTTAAAAAAAAAAGAAAGTTAAACCAAAAAATGTACTTTAAACAAGAAATTTGATATGTAATATATAACCTCAGAGGATTTTAATCCATTATGTAAAGGTGAATCCGAAACTCAGGCAGAGAAATAAGTGATTGATTTTAGGCAAAGGAAAGACAATTTTCATTTAAAACATCTTTATTCAGAAACATGTTTTCTATAGACATCGGTCATTTGATGTGGTTTAGAATAAAGAAAACTAATACGTTTAATATCAGAATTTACTCGCAAATACATTGTAATATTAAAATAAATTTCATTAAATAAAGAAAACGTTTATGTTCATAATAGTATGTTTTAGGCATAGTTTGACTTTTAAGAAACTGTCTCCTATTATAGTACATTCTAATACCAAACTTTTATAACACCAGACTCTTCAAGTTTCAAGCCAGTAAACCGATGAAGCCAAAAAATTATTTCTGAATTTTTTTCCTCCAAATTACTTTGGGATCCGTTTTAAATACTCTGCATTTCCTCAGGACTCCTTATTTAATCTTTAAAAGCTTTTGTTGTAAAGTATTTAGCAAATCAGCTAAAGGTTAACAGTTAACAGAAAAATTAAATTTAAAGAATTCATATTAAAATCCCACCTTTGGTTACTTAAAACTGTGGTAAATATGATGTGTTAAGACAATGCGATTAGATATCCTAAAATAAAAAGCCTGAATTAAGTTTCCCACTAAGGATGAAAAATAAGGGGTGATAATATTTTGAAAATATGATAACCTTAAGTAAAAAAGCCATCCAGGGGAAGCACTGCATTACTATGTTTCCAAACAGCTATAAAAACATCTCACAAATGTGATTTTTATTTCCGTTTATAAACAAAAACTATTTTAAACTTTGTATATCCTGTAACTGGCCGATTGTCACTATTGTTGTTTTTCTTAATGGAAGCTCTCTCCTCATTAAACAGGCCTTTCTGGAGATGGCCTATGTTGAGGCAGCTCAGGCCATGGTTCAGTACTATCAACTAAGTCCTGCCACCATTAACAATCAGAAACTCCTCATACGAATGTCTAAGAGATACAAGGAGCTGCAGCTTAAGGTGAATTATATAACATAGAAAGTGTTAATATTTATGGCATGTTAGACAGGTGCTAAGCCTGAATATATGTATATATTTTTCAGAAGCCAGGTAAAGATGTTCAATCAATCATCCAGGATATTACCTCACAGCAGGAAAGGGATAAGATGCAAGAGTTTGAACAGTAAGAAAATGCTTTGTTTTACTTGCATCAATTCTGATGAATTAACATTTAAAAAACATTTAGAGATTTTTTTTTTTTTCAGCTATCTTCCAGACAGAGCACGCTCTCGCAGCCCCATCAGCCGCTCTCTGAGTCCTCATTCCCACAGTCCCAGTTTTACATCATGCAGCTCTGCCCACAGTCCCCCAGTGGCACCATGCAGGGGTCCGGACAAGGGCAGTAATGGCCTAAGCCCTCACCGGGGTTCAAGAGACTGGCCATCCCATATGAGAAGGGGGGAGGAAGAAAGGGAGCGTGATGATCCATGGAGGAATGGTGGAAACATGGGTGACAATCAACCTAATGGGAGGACAGCAGACCGTCGGAGGAACTACCACAAACATCTGGGTCATCCCGGCTTCAGATCTGCAGATGGACATGGAAGTGGTGAAGCACCAAGGAGCGGCAGAGAGTGGCACCAACGGGACAGTCCTCTAGGCTCATCCTTCAGCTCTTACAGGAACATGGAGGATGATTTATTCATGGAGTCATCATACAAGTCAGGTAAACCACCGAGGACATCTCATCATAGACATGACACAAAGTCAAGGCGAAGGGATGGGGACCACTCTGGTCGGTCAAGGCATTCTGAAGTTGAGACAACGGATGGGCCTCGGTGTCGAACACCAGAGGACAAGAGGCAGAGTTCATCTGGAAGAGACAGGAGCAAAAACCCAAGCAAGAGACACACTGAGAAACAGGGGAAAGAAAATGGTGTAAGTACTTATTGCTTTGGCATTGCCTCATAATTGCTTTGCATCTATCAGCTAACAAAGTATTTTCACATTTTAGGACGACAAGTTCAAAGAAAACTCTGTTTTGCCTCAACAAGGGAGCAAGTCAAAAGAGGCTACTGAAAGTGACAAAAACACAGAGACTGTGAGTAAATGCTGAAGTAATTCATAATACTATTGACATGACTGCAATATGTGTTGTAAAATTTAATCTGACTGTGGCTGATAAAAAGTTTGATAAATTCACACTTTGAAATTACTTTGAAATTCTTTTAATATTATTACTATAACAGTTCAGAGCACAAGTAAACATAGGCATCATTAGAAATTGTTTTTTTATGCCTTCTTGAAATGAAACCATAAAAATGGAAAGATGAATTTGGGACACAAGATTAAGTGATCATATGTCTTCTTGAGTACAGTCAATGACAATATTACACACAGGCTTAAATCTATACATATAGTTCCCCCTAATTTTTGGTTAAATGTTTGGAGCATCAGAAAGCTTCTGGCATAATTGTGAAAGTCTGTTTGAATTTTTTTTAGAGGAAATTTTGTAGAATTCATTTAAACTGTTTTAAATCATAGAAAAACATAAGTAATGTGGTTTAGTATCGGACTATTGCAGGAGCCTTAGTCTGCTTTATACATTTAAAAACAGTTTTGATGTTTATTGTCTTATTAGACCTAATAAATTGGAAAATGTTGGTAAATCCATGTGAAAATAAATTAGTAAAATAAATACATTTAGTGGATAGCAAGCGTAGTTTTAGATCTGAGACATCACCATAGGAACTGTCCGTATGATGGTGGTAGCACTATGCTTTGGAGGACTAATTTTAAATTCTTTGATGTCACCCAATACTGAACCCAAACTGAAGCTTGCACACAAATAAGTAAACCAATAGAAAACTGATTGCGAGCACACAGCATTAAAGGTACAGTGGAGGATTTTTGCAAATTTTCGAAAAGACCCACCCTCACTTAAAAAAGTGAACATGGACAAGCCTGTAACCCTGTAAGGGAACACCTATCAAACGTGTGCGAGTACATGTAGGAGCCTATTTCTCCTCGTGCACGCTCTGTTTAAAAGTTGCTGTTTGCATCACTCATACAAGCTTACTTTCCAAAAGAAGATTTGCAATTTTTCCACTATGTCAGCCTCACCACCGGTAAGTGAAAATGGGGACGTGCACATAGTACGGCCTTATGTAAACATATCACCAGAAACATTGACAATTAGGAGGACCACTTATTTCGATGATCCACCCGGAAAAAGAACATCCTCCACTATACCTTTAACTGGCTGAACGATGACCAACACAATAGTCGGCCACTGGCTTACTCTTCCATTAACTCAAAATTAGTTTAAACAAACCAATGTAAAGAGTTGCTATTGTACCAGAAACTTGTTGTAGGCTACAAAAAGCCTATTGTACAGATTCATCTTTTTAAAACAAGTAATAATTTAACTTTATTAATCTCACAATGGAGAAGTTTACGTCTGTATTTAACCCATCCCCTTGGGGAGCAGTGGGCTGCCATTGTGCGGCGCCTGGGGAGCAATCGGGGGTTAAGGGTCTTGCTCAGAGACCCAGAGTGGCAGTCTATGGGAACTGGTTTCGAAGTCACAACCTCAAGATTCCAAGCTTTACGCCCTAACCAGTAGGCCAGCATTCCCCTCCAAGAATAGTTGGGTGCGTGTATCTACATATGTTAGGTCGTACTTATGCGTTCAATCTTGTGTTAATTTGAGTAATTTGTAGTGTTTGAAATAGTAGAAGTGGTTTGTTACGTAATCATTCCCCACAGAAACTTATTTACTTGAAATACATATTTAAAAGTTAAGAGATTTATGTTAATCATGAACAGATGTATTTTAACAGATATGTCATACAATGTACTACATTTTTAAGTGACTTACTTTGGGACCTTTGGATAGACTTTAAAACTGTGTCCCTATCCAGCATTGTTTACGGTCACAATTCGATGAAACTGTGACCAAAATTTCACCAACTTCCTTGTCCATACTCTAACTCTGAAAATGTCTGTATCCTGTTAGGTGATGCAACTGTTAAATATTTTCTTCATCTATATCCTCAGCAGAATGTTGTGGAAAGTGTTGAAGATACAGATGAAGAATGCTGGTACCCGAAAAACATGGAGGAGCTAGTCACTGTCGATGAAGTGGGAGGAGAAGATGATAACATCGTTGAGCCAGATATCTCTGAGCTTGAAGAGTTTACTTCATGCCACAAAAAGCCTACAGTTGAAGAACTAGAAGAGAAGCATGTTTCACCATCAACGCCCCCAACAGAGTTACAGGAGCCAGTTGACCATGCACCTAAACTGGAGGAGTCTTCAGAGGATAAAGGAGTGGAAGCATCAAAAGCTGAAGCAGACAAAGCAGCAGATATAACCCCTTCACCCAGTCTTGACAGCAAGCAAGCAAATTCAGAAACAACCGATCATAAAGTTGCTGACCTCAGCAGCTTCCCCAATGAAGAGTTTAAAGCAGCACTCGAGGAAACTTGCTCAGAGGACACCAAATTCCCCAACAACGAGGCACCAGATGAACCAATGGAAAATCATGTATGTTTAGCAAAGGACAATGAATGCCAGGATGAAAGAGACACCTCAGAAAAAATACCATTGGAAGTTCAACTGCAAGATGCCAATCTAAAAAGAGGTACTTTCCTTCATGTTTTTTTTTTTTTTCTTTAGTGTCTTCCTTTATTGGTTGTGTCAGATTTGACCTGCGTTTTATGCCAAGTTGACACATTTTGAACAATAGTTGATGCTGAGAGCCTTTCAGAAGCTTAATATCAGAAAGCTTTGTCCGTTCTAAGGCCAGTTTTAATGTGTACTTGAGACCTTTGTCCTTTTCTGGAACACCTGACCTGTGTCTGTCCAAAGCAAAGGTTTAACATCAACATAGATTTTTTGCATAATGCAGCCTTTAATCTCCGGAAACATAGAGGCTTCATTCAAAAACTTTATAAGAAGCTAGCCGAAACCTTTTGAAACTCTCAGGGTACTTTCCAAAACACTTAAACGTATGTACAGTAGTACTCTCCAAAACCTCACAGACCTTACCTGGTATTTTACATAACTTTCACAGAATATACCTTGTACTTCCCAAGAATCTTCATTGAGGTATTTTTGGGTAATGGGCTGGATTATGTAAAAGCTTTTATACAAATACAGTGGAACTTTAATGCTTTGAAAAGTTGCTTTAAAGTTCTTTCTTTGAAGTACCAGCTAAAGTTTTTGACACTAGGGACTAGCTCTCTACAGTATTTCAGCCAAAGTTCCATGAAGGTTACCTCACTATACAGATTAATATTTCAATTGCGGCCCCTAAAATCAATATATTTGCATTGTTGTTTTTTTTTTTTGCTTTCTTTTGATTTTCAGTCCATCTTTTAGGTTTTCATGATTTTTTTCTGTTCATGGATGTGAAAGGATCGCGAAGATGTAGCCATTGAAGTCAAGGTTTAAATCAGTTTGACAGACATTGCACACTTCCTAAAAAGAGAGTGAGGGTCAAGGAAAATAAAGTGGTGGATGCAAAGAAACTTTCCTTGTGCTGTTGGGTGGTCATGAAAAAACAGGCTAATCTACCACCTGAACTATGGAGGCTAATGTAAACATCTGATCTGAATCCCACTGAAAACATTTCAGAATGGATGGAAAAGGAGGTTCTTAGCGAAACATTTTTTAACACATGGAGGAACAACTTGCTCCAATAAGTTGCTAAAACTTTTCTGAGCAAAAAAAACATACAAGATTTTTCTTCCTCTTGTATGTTTTTTGTGCTTTGAAGCTAATCTCTCATCTTACAAGAGAGTAAATGTGAATGCTTCTAACTCTTGGTCTTAAGATTTTAATCAGCGAAATTTTACACTTGAGACATATGTGTGAATAAGAGAACACCCATAAAAATATTTGCAGAGTTCTTCCTTAACAAAATAACCAAAGCACAGAAATTACCTGTTCAAAAAATTCCTTAAATATCAGTAACAGTTTTATGTAACAGACCTGAGGAATTTTCCTCTCTTCACATCTCTTGGAGGGAAAAAATATCCAGAAAGAACAAAATTCTGTGAATAACTAACCAAAAAGAAGCTCCTTTTCTATTACTTTCCTAATATATAAATGTATTTCACAGAAATAGAAGCTCCCTCACCGTCTCTGCATCAAGACAAAGCTGTCAGTGAACTCAGCATACCTTTGGGTAAGTACATTATAACACATTAACATCAATTTTATTAACATGAATAGAAAACATGAAAAAAACTTTTGCCATCTGGTCAGTTATATGATGCCATCTCAGCAGAAGCTAAATCGGTACAGTTTCATATTTGACAGGGTGGAACATTTATACATAGTTATGTCTGTGAGGTTCCACGCATTTTAAATGAAAGTCAAAACTCTTGTCTGTTGTTTGAGGTCTGACTTGATTCTCATGCACTGCCACTTGGGAAAAGCCTAAACTGGGACATAAAGATTTAAATTATCACAGAAATATTCTTGTGATCCAGTTTGGTCTGATGAATAAATACCTGTTCAAATATCGCCCTGTTAAAGTTTCCCTGTAGATTTTGTGCTTTAAATAAAAAGATTGCTCTGCTGAATGAGTTACAAACAGTTGGTAAATGTAGGTCTAAGACTATGTCCCATTTAGTTAAAAAAAAAAAAAAAACCAACAACATAAATCCTTTAAACCCTGATACTGGAGTCAAAACTTCCACCAACAAGTGTGACTGGTTTTCAGTTAGACTACAATGCTCAAACACTAAAGGAGAGCTAAATATAAATCAATCACATTAAGACAGAAGCGATGCGTGAAGGACCAACCTTTTACTCTATATAATATCTAAAAGGCTTGTTGATGTCAACGAGATGCAAAAAGCAGGATCTGTATTATCTCTGGGGTTAAATTGCAAGACTGAGCACATGGTTTATCATCCGTAGCCTGGTGAGGGGCTTTGCTGTCTGGTGCTACAGGAAACACCTGCAGCTCAAAGTCTTGAAAACAAAAAAGCTGGTCATTGACTTCAGGAGGCCCTGACCAAGGTCACAGCCTCTTCTGATAGAGTGAGTCGAGGTGGCAAATGTGGATTCCTTCAACTACTTAGAGCTGTGGCTGGACAGCAAGCTGGACTGCACTATGAACACAGACCACCTGTACAGGAAAGGTCAGAGCCGGTTGTATCTCCTGAGAAGGCTACGGTCATTCAACATCTGCATGAAACTCCTATCGATCTTTGACCAGTCTGTTGTTGTCAGTGTCCTTTTACACCGTGGTGTACTTGGGGAAAAGCACACCTAAGAAAGACACTTACAGGTGGGACAAACTGATCAAGCGGGCCGGCTCGGCGGTCGGCATGAAATTGGACTCGGTTATGATGTTGGCAGAGAGAAGGACTGTGACTCTGGGGTGCCAGTAGTGGTCTATTTCATTAAGTTATCGGGTACTTTAGTATTTGTTCACTCGGTTGCAGTGCAATATTACTTACATGATGAATAGCACCTCTAACTGTGTTTTGTATTTTTTTGTTAATTTATTGTTATTTGATAATTTTTTTTAATTCTTCATATTAAAATTCTTTCTATCTATCTATCTATCTATCTATCTATCTATCTATCTATCTATCTATCTATCTATCTATCTATC